CCGAACTATAAAATTTCTGTCTCACTTTATCGTTATTTACTAAAAGGCTAGAAATATATCTTCTTTCGACAGAAAGAGAATGAACGTTAATTTGATCTTGATCCTTGTAGAGTGAAAAAGGACTACACTGCATCCGCACGAACCTCCCGATAATATCCATAAATGACTTGTTTTTGGTAAGAGATGAACATTACTATATGTAAATTCGGGTGCATGGTACACATCGATACTCCAATGCATTTCTCCCTCTGAGTCAGAATAAATATGTTTTCGAACCCTCTCTTTTAAATTAAGAGTGTATGTTCCCCCGCGAATCTTAGCAATCACTTGTTCTGATTCTACATATTGATCATTTTGAACACTTGTTGGTACTCTGTTATGGTATCCTCCTGTTTGACAGCGAGACGACGAGAACATTGGTTACCTTCCTTCAATGGTTGAAAACGTCCAAACATTCGAGTTTTCAAGTTCTCCCAATTGATAAACTTCAGTCGATTATCCATCCATCTGTACCACACCAAAGCAATCTCGTTAAAACTAATGACAGCTACGGTCACCTTCTTCAAATCCGTCAGTTAATGGATATCAAAGTATCGTTCTACCCTATACAGCCACGAGTCAGGGTTCTTGAGTTTCAATCTTCAATTAATTGGGCCTTCGGCATGCTTTGGTTCAATCTCATTGGTTCCATGGTTAGTTCCTCTGCTTGCACCATTGAGTCCAGTCCATTTAGGAAAGTATTTTCCAACACTTCATCCATTAACTGGGGCAACGGCACCAACAGAGCCTCATTCTTGTTGGTACTCTGTTATGGTACCCTCCTGTTTTATGGCGAGACGACAAGCACACTGGTTACCTTCCTTCAATGGTTGAAAACGTTCAAACATTCGAGTTTTCAAGTTCTTCTAATTGATAAACTTCAGTCAATTATCCATCCATCTGTACCACACCAAAGCAATCTCGTTAAAACTAATGACAACTACAGTCACCTTCTTCAAATTCGTCACTTTATGGATATCAAAGTATCGTTCTACCCCTAAACAGCCACGATTCATGGTTCTCCACTGAAAATATCAGCATCTCGACCTTCTTAAACTTGCTCCGATCATTGCTCTGTTCTTGTTTGTCCATAGCTTCCAACACCTCCTCCGGGATTTCCTCTTCTAAGTCGATGTTTCTCCCATGTTCAACTCAATGAGTGGTGTCCAACCGCCTGTGATTTCCACCATAAACATCTCTAAGGATTCTAGGTGATCTCACTTACTCGACGTTGCCTGTTGCTTGCTCGACGTTGTTCCTCTACTTGAGTGTTGATCATCGCCAGCATCCCCTTCAAGCTTCAAATCTACCTCTCCGTTGAGTCGAATCGCTCTTCCAACTTCTTTGTTATTCTCTTTGGTTTTCCCATATGACTAGATCTTATACCAATTCGTGAGGTATCCCTCACCAGATCATATGCAACAAAGAAAACTAGCCCTCATGCATTAAAGGCTGCTCCACCAGTTCGAGAGGATGGAGATGTATCCTAACCTATCAGCCTACTGATTGACAACAAAAACAAATATACCCCAATCCCAGAGCTACCCTGCCCCCATATTCGCCTCCCTAAGTTGTCCCCTCCACCAACCCCCCCACAACAAGGACCGTACTCTTCAGCTGCCACTAACCGTTAGGAGTATTTTCCTCTTTCCCTTCCTATTAGAAACATTCACAATAAAATACCTCACACATATTTTCTGGAATGACCTATGAATCGACAGAAGTACTCTGAAATTGTCGTTTGCCAGAAGGTATCATTGGGTAACTCCAAACTACAAAGATCTGGTTATAAAAGGTTGCTGGAATGTTAGTAACAGTGCTCGGGACTTCAGTTCCAGACAAGCCTTCAACAATGGGGAGATAATTGAGTGGATTTCTTGTTTAGATTTGATTTGATTCAGTTCAGCACGCAGAAAACAGGGGCATTCTTGCTTGGAAACTGGACCCATAGGATAGCTTTACTATTAAATCCCAGTTCAACAACCTAGTTAAAGCTTGCGAAGCATTAACTGCTATATCATGCCCACTCGTTGAATCAAAAGGTTCTGAAGTAAGAAAAGCCTAAAGAAGAAAATAGTAGTTTTTGGGGACTTCAGCTCGCCATGGAATTAACAGGGCAGAAAATATACAAAGTCAATCAAATCTAGCGTACTAAATATCGACAGAACAGAGATGGGTTTTTAAACTAAATCTGTATCTCCATCTCTGCTATTTCAAAGCCAGCCAAATAATTCAAAATTTTCACTGAAATTAAGTCTCGAGTAAGTTCAAATTAGGAAAGAATTAGAAATGAAGTACCCGGATCGAATTAATGCAACAAAAGCAATTCATGTCAAAACAAATAAAAATGGGGTGGAGAAGAACATGAACATCGCAACAGAGACTGAAATGAGAAAATTAGAATACCTTTTGGGATATGGAGTCGTACGCAATCTTGTAATCTCTCTGAAGAAGGTAAAGCCCCAGAGATGATGCAACCGCTGCTCCGGCAAAGAACGAAGCCAATCTCACTCTCAGGACATAACCCATTTCTTCCACCCACGATCTTCTCCTTCGCTTCGTTCGCCCTCCTTTTTTCTTTGTAATAGGCGTAAATGCCTATTCAAAAATCATATCATATTTACCAAAATGGCCTAATATAAAATTTAGGGTAAATTTTATTTTCCCTAAAAGTATAATACAAAAATTACCATTACTGCCCCTTTTTAATTTTACCTGCAATTTCATTTTAACCTTGTGCCGTTTCAGGGTAGTTACTTTTTTATTTTATTATCAATTATAAAACACTTTTAAAGTGATCAATTAAAGAATATTAGTGAGCGATTATGTAAAAGATAAATTCCACGATTGATATGATAGGATGGATAATATGCTCTTTAATATGGAAAGGAAAACAGAAAATTGATGAAGAGAATGTCCTAAATCTCCCGAGAAGTAGAAAGAATTACAATGCTCATTCTGCTTAAAATTCTAGGAATTCGTTGATAGTTAGAATAGATTCATAGACCAAGTCGACTGATCCGTTTTAAATTTTAAATAGTTTTTTAGGGTCATTTCTTATTTCTTCTATGTCATAGGATTAAAACCCAAAAATCGTTGTTGATTTCCTTGGAAATGGCTATATTAGCATATCAACTATCCATATTGAGTAAGACCAGGGGGATTACACATGTTCTCATTTCTCTCTAGTGGAATTATTTCTTTTTTTGTTAAGTACAACAAATTTGGAGGTGAAAATTTGAATCTCCAATTTCAAATAAAATAGTGTTATTTGCATATTGACTTTCCCTCTAGAGTAGTTAGTTTGGATGCCGATCGAGTTCATAACGTTATTGGATACCTCACAAAGATCGAGTCTTCAATTAGAACATCTATTTCTATCCCCTCGTACTCTTCCAATATATTGAGCAACTTGTTGAACATCGTTTCAAAACTATCGTGATTCAAATCTTCAACATAGTAAACAATACTACAACATGGTTGACAAGCTTAGTAGTATTTGTAAAGTATAATCTTTGGGTAAAAACCTCAAGAAACCTATTGGTCAAAACCTACAATTTGGTACAAGTTCCTTGTCTACCACTTTGTTCCACCATATTGGTGCCCCCCACATTTAAGCTTGTACTAGACAAGGTTTACTTGTTAATAATTTGCGTCAAGGCAATGGTTATGTCATACGCTTATATTCCACTTATTCGTGTGGAAGTTAAAGCCACTGTAGACATGAGAGCACATCCAATTTACAAAAAGTAGAGATATGAAACCCAGAAACCATTAGGAATTTGATGAATGCCAGTTTATAGATCACAGAGATCGAGTATGAACTATCAGATTCACAGTTATAATCATTCGTTTGAATAAAAAATCAGAATGAGACATCTGATGAGTCCATGTCATTAAAACACACCCCTAAAATTAACCCAAAATAACGGACAAAAAAAAATAAAACCAAAAGGGGAGAAAAATCAGCTGACAAGTCCATTCAGAGAAATCACAGATGACTGATATGATCATTCAAATCGGGAACGACTCTCTGGTTAAACGTGCCTGTATTATCTGATATTCTCCTCCAGGAGGCGCCGTTGAGCCATAAGATTACCAAATTTCATATAAACTCTGGAAAATCCAAAAAAGAAAAAAGGGAATCCTCCGTGAATATCAACTAACAAAATCAAATAACCAAAAGACGACAATAGATGGACCGAAAGAGTACTTACTATCTTCTCGAAGTCAACGAAGCACCAACCATCCTGTCATGGTACAAAATTAAAGCTTGTAAAACTATAAATTCAATCATTCATGAGCCAAGAGATATTTAGCAAAATAATATTGACTATTGTGTCCACAACTTGATGGTCTAGAATACTACCTGCCCTGATGTTTCCCAGAAAAATTGGCACTAGATCTCCCATCAGTTGAAGCCAAGCTTTGACTGCTCCCACTCGATGTTCTATCAAGGGCAGCCCCATTTTCAAACGCCATAAACACAGATGATTCACCAGGCTTCGCTTCTGGGACATTCAGTTCACGAGTCTCCTTTGATCTTGTAAAAAGTTTCACGTTCAATAGACCTCCACCAGCAGTAGAATGAAAACCATTTTTCAGTTGATTCTTCATTGGAGGGCCCTGAGAAGAATCCTTAGCTATATTTGGAGTAAAAACAGAAGTCTTCTCGGTTTTCATGTTTTTTGAATCAGCAGGTGGAATTCTCTTAGACCGATTAGTATGTGCCATTGGGGTCATAGCGACAGAAGGTAAATATGATGAATAATGAGATGAAGCTGCAGCTGCAGCAGCAACCTTAGCAAAAGCTGTTGTTGCTGCTATTGTCTTCTGTGCTCCTTCTCGAAGCTGAATATAATCGCCCTCAATCACAAATAACTGACACAGATTGAAAAAAAAAATCACTTGTAACTGTTTACAGCCATACGCACTGCTAGAAATACAAAATCATTTAATATGAATCAAGTTCTGGAGAATCTCACTTCTGGATGCCCAGCTACGAAGTCTTCAAGCTTACCATACTTATTCTCATAATCATGCCAGTGCAAAGGTGCAAGCATCTTGCACAGCCTATTTGGCAGCTGCATTTGAAAGAGCAAATAGCTTCAGTTAACCAACGAAATATTATTTTCCGGAGTAAAATGGCCACTAGGATGAAAGTGCTATAACCAAAACTCACTGTTGAACTAATTTGAATTCTACCACCAGCTGGAATGGTGCGAACTATGCAAGCCAGTAATGATCTTTCATCAAGAAGGGCAGTTTCTGAGGTCTTCCCCATCATCATTGGAATTTTCAGCCCAGAAGAACCAAAAGCTTCGGTTACAACAGCCCCAGATCCAGATGCATCGTTGATAACCAGTTCACTGACATTTACATTGTGAATGGAGGAAGAATCAGAGGCTAATGTACTGACAGCAGGACTTAACTTCCCCCCATTTAACCCTTGCTCCTCAAGCACCTGATCAATTGCACCCAAATCATTTTGATCCTGGGCCAAAAGAAGTAGCTCAAGTTAAATCTTGAATGAAGCTAACACCAGATAATAAAGGGAAGAAAGCAAAATGTTCACCTTTTCATTGTTGTGCTGAATAGAACCAATCCTTAAAGCATCATGAAATTGAGAGGTAATATGTTGCAAGCTCGTATCAGGCTTAGGGATAACTTGGTATCCTCTATCAACCGACTCGAGCTACAAAAGATTATATGTATGGTCAAGATCACAAACAAGACTAAAAAGAAAACCATATAATTCATTTTTGAACGATTTTTTTCAGAACAAGAAAACCATATAATTAATTAATCATTTAAAAATTTAAACGCCAAAAGACCTGAGTTTCTCCCGAAGATGATGAAAGCACAGAATCAGGTTCTCTTCTCTTGCCGGTATGAACATCATGATAATCTGGTTCAAGAGCTTGCCCATTAGCAGTCATCTCGTAGGGGTAATTAGTATTTGATGTCATTATGTTTTGAACATTTTGAGATGACTGAAGTTCATTCTGAGCAGATATGTTGGAACCCTCTGAAACAATCTTGAGAAGATGCATAATATTTAATTTGCTTTCTACAATATTCCAAAAGAAAGGAGAAAAGAAACCAAAATATATCAATTGTCATATACCTGTTCAGTCTGCCATGGTTGGATGGATGATATAGCTGGTAACGATGGAAAATGCCCCATGTGAGATTGAGGAACTTGGGATGGTACAGAATGGGGAACCCCTGGTTGATGTATCAGAAAGGGATGCAAAGCAGCCATCTGCCCAGGTGGAAGGTAGGGTGGCATCCCGAGAAGAGATGATGGAGCCATTGGAACACCAGATGCATGGTCAGCCTAACAACAAAGGCAGATCACCATATTATTACAGAAGCCATCAATGTTTTTTCACGAGTATATGGTAACTGCAACAGAAGGGGTGGGGGGTTCAAGATTATTTCTGCCTTCATTTTTTGTATCGATCCATTTTAAAAGTTTTGACCATAAAGTAGTAACCATGACAAGTCAAGCAACAAGATCAATAACTGGACAGGGAAAGGACATGCAATCCTACCTGGACAGATGTATTGCCAGTCAAATTAAAAGATGGAACATTTTCTGAATTCCCATTTGACAGTGCCCCATTATTTCCGGTTGAAGCAGCTCCACCTAATTGGTTACCATTGCTTTGTCCATATTGGGATGCATCATTAGAATTTGTCTGAGATATGTTAGACTCATCATTGTAAGTCCCACTTCTTTCCCTTGCATCAGCCAACTCAAGTTGGAGTTGTTGCAATGTATGCATGTGAAGCCTCTCCATCTCTGCAAACTAATATTAGAAAAAGAAAAAGGAAATGAAAATGACAATAACGATTAAAATAGGAACAGTGAAAACAACAAATTTAAAAGAAAAAAGAATAAGAATGGATATTAAAAAAACAAATTTGATCTTGGAATGATCAAATATACTTGATACACTGCAGAAGAGGAACGATAAGAAAATAAAAGCAAAGACATGCAATTCTGCATACAAGTGTATCAAGCTGATCACAGACATGGTAGGAAAAACTATTCACACAGCTTCAGTGTACTGCGACAATTCCTTGAATAAATGAAAATATTATAATATGAAATTTCATATTGTAGAGAACATTAATAAACAAGTTGGAATGAGAAAATCTGGCAGTACAGAAATAGAATAACTCATAGATTTCACAACCAAAAGAAATAATGTTGATAATACAAGAAAAGGATAAGGAATATAGTCATAAGCTATGATTCTTTAGCACAAAGCCAAACAGAACCAACCTGACGCTGGCAACCAAGCCACAGCTGGTTATACTGCTCTGTACGATCACGTAATTCAGCTTGTAATGAATGGTTTGTAGTTGATTGCAGAGCATCCATTTCCTGGACACGAGCAATCCAAGCGTGGGCTTCCCTCAATTGTTCATCTTTGTACAAAACGGTTTCTTGAGCAATCCTATGCTGAATAATAGAAACCATAAGATCTTTATAAAGCTATGTAATTGTAATCAAACCGTGCATAAACCGTGTGCCCCAAGATCATTGGGGAAAACTGTTTGCAACAAGTACAAATCATGTTTTGCAGAAATCTAATCAGATAGTTTTAAAATACACAACAGCAACATGCCTTGTTAATAATGAATTAAGAATCTAAATCTATCCTGCCCAAATAATTTTTAAAAATATTGTGCCAAGCTCAATCCATAAATCTACATTACAGCCCCCGATAAATTTCAAGGCTAAAGAAACTCACAGGAAATTTTAACAGGAAGACCAAAATGTTACACAAAGTCACTCTCAAGTCACTCTCAAGTCATATACTAAAGTTCCAAACAACGTTGTTATGGAAATGGAGAGGATTGCAAGGAATTTTTTCTGGAATGGAAATGGTTGTCACCCTCGACATCACTTGGTGAGTCGGGATCGTGTCTCTTTGCCACAGGTTTATGGTGGATTAGGGCTGGGTGCCTACAAACAGAGAAATAACGCCATTCTCCAAAAGTGGCTGTAGAGGTTCACCCAAGAAGAAAATCCTTTGTGGAAATGTGTGATTTCAAGTATTTATGGAAATGAGTCTCAAGGTTGGCTACCTCCCCCTCCTTAAGGGAGTTCCATGGGAAGGCCGTGGGTGGACATTGCTAAACAGAGGCTTTGTTTTATGGGGTTCATCTCTTTCAAAGTTAAAAATGGGTGCAGAATCAAGTTTTGGAAGGACACTTGGTCGGGAAACACCCCTTTTAAAATCCAATTTGCTGATTTAGTACAGAATTTCCACTAAGAAAGAGTGCACTGTGGCAGAATGTTGGAACAATGAGCAAGGGGGCTGGAACTTGGGGTTTATAAGGGGAATTTTGGATAGAGAGCTGAATAGCTGGGAGCGGCTAGTGGCTCTCACGGATTCCTTTCATTGGGGATCAGGGGAAGACAAGGTTGAATAGGCCCTGGAAGGTGAGAAACTTTTTACCAGTAAATCCACCTTCCTCGAGTTAATAAAAGTCTCCCCTAGGCTTAGATCCCCCCTTATAACTATGATTTGGATGTTCTCTTGTCCTAAGATAAGAAGGTCAAAGTGCTTTTGCAAGGAGCATAAAAAACTCCACCTCGGGTTGCTCTCTTTGCCTTAGGAATGAGGAGACAATCGACCACCTCTTCCTCCACTGCACCTTTGCAAGGTGCTGGTCCTTTTTGATGAGGGAATGTGGTCTCTCTAGGTGCCTTCCCTACTTGATAAATAACTAGCTTCTTGAAATTGTTCGGGGTTCTTTGAAAGAAAAAGTCAAGATTCTTTGGAGTTGTGCTGGTAGAGCTTTTCTTTGAAGTATTTGGAAGGAAAAGAACTAAAGAGTTTTCAACAATATCTCTCTCCCTTTTAATATCTTTTGTAAAAATGTACAAATTACTAGGTGTCTTACCCATAGAAGATTCTTTTGTAATTACAATATAGCCTTACTTTCACGAGATTGGAAAGCTGTAATGTGGACCTGTGGTAGCTCTTTAGGAGAGGCCTCCTCAGTCCTTGCCCTTAGGTTGTTTTCTCCTTTTTTTGTCTAATACATGATGTTTCTTATCAAAAACAAAAAAAGAAAAACTAAATGGTTAATAAATAAAATTCCTAAAGAAAGATTACAGGTCCTAAACCTCCCCAACAACTAAAGAAAAACACATATCTTAAAAGGGGTCCCCTCATACCATACCATCATACCATGTCGTATAGAAAAAAAATGAGGCAAATTATATCAAGTGGAACTTTGAAATAGGATTTGCAAGAAAATACACTAAATGGGTCAGTAGACTATAAGCATAGACTCCATTTGGGGTTTGATTTTGGACACCTTCAGCGTGATTAGAGAAGAATTTTAACCATGTTGGGAGTTTGGTAAAACTGATAATATATCAAGTTATATTTTTTAAAAAATTAAATATTATATTATATATTAATTTAGAGAGAATCACTTCTTCAATCACTAGTTTGCAAAAACCGATTAACTGCAGCTTCTGAAATTTGCTGTTCAAAAAATCAGTCAATATGATCCACAACCTATCTCATCTTACCAGCTTTTTTTAATCGGTCGACTCTACCTCTAATTTAATTCAATATAATTTATTTTTCTTTAACCTTTCTATCTTTAAATTGTAACAACATTTTACTCAATACAATTTTTTATAACAATTGTTTCTCTTAATCTTTTATCAAATAATTTAGAATAAACAAAATAATTTGTTATTTATTTATTTAAATTATGCAAAAATTTTAAATAATTATCTTACAAAAAAATTTAAAATTTGTATACACACAACATCATGGATAATTAAAATATCATGCCTGTCTTAGTCATTATAGCTAAATCACAAAAATTTGGTAGATTTACCAAATATTGTAATCTGCTTTTTTGTGTTTAAAATTTGAAATTTACCAGACACTAAATTACTTCATACAGTCATACTACGCCTAATTTTTTAAAAGCATAGTTGATAGGAATTATTTAAGTAGCTACACCAATCCCAAACTGTCTTAATATTCTATCCATGGGACAAGAAGCTGGCAGATGCTCAAGAAAAGGACCAAGATTTTCAAGTTCAAAGTACTCAGATCTAAAGCAACAAATTTCTAGCTTGCCTGAAGCTAAGAGGCAGGTACTATACCTCATTGCATCAAGGACAATATTTACTGTTCAAATTCCGGGCATTTTTATAAGTTCCCTCTCTGGCACAAGTACTTGCTTTTTTTCTTCTTTTAAGATTTTGTAGTACTGAATTAAACAAATATTTAAGCTTGTTCATCAATGCAGGTAACATTTTCAAGTTTCTGCAGTATCAATAACTTTTCTTGAAATATATGTTGATATTATAAATCTGAGGGATTTATACTTACAAATTTTACTCATGTCATATAATTGTTTTTTAATAGAACCATCTACAACTGCAGAAAACCTGAATCTAAAGCTTGTTCATAAGAATGCATTTTTCTTGGTAACCAGGTACAAAATCATAGCAAGAATACCCGAAGAAATGAATATAGAAATCTAACATAATCCTGCATTCCAAGGTATTTTCTTAATCTACCATCCCTAACAAAAAATTGAATATAAAAATCTCTGAACTCTACCACACTGAATACCTTACAATGAAGTTTAAAGTGGATAAAGAAAATGAGGAAAACTGATATAGTGACTGAAATTCATGTTCAAATCAACCAGGAAAATCGACAAACCTGCTCCTGTAACTCAAGAAGCTGCCGCTCTTTCTCATGGATGTGCTCTTGAAGTTCATGCATTTGTTTTATCTGCTGAGCTCTTTCAACTTCGGAATGATCACGTTCTCTCCTGCAAAGAAAGCATGATATAATATAACAACTCCGTAATAGAAGAAACATCAGTTAGAGTAGCCCAACAAAAACACAGATTGTAGATAATTGTACAGCAATAAAACTATTATACTAAAGTGTGAATTAGTGTAAGCAGAAGGTAAAATAAATGCACTAGAAGAAAGGAAGAAAAGAAACGTAGGACTTCCACACAAAATGTAACCTGTAAGTTGCTATTTCTTTATCTTGTTCCCGAAGAAGATCATCCTTGGCCCAAGCCTGCAAAACAGTTATAGAAGAAGAGTGTTAATAAAGAAATGATTTGGGAAAAACATTCTTAGGCTCACAAATCAAGCATGAGGAAAAAAACAACAAACCGCTTCATTGTCTAATTTAATTGATTGCAACTCCCTATCTTTATCTTCTATTTTTCTTTCCAATTCATGAATAGCCTGGTCTCTTTCACGTAGTTGTTCCTGTACAACCACAACAGGTCTCATATAAGAATCAAAACAGCCTGATCTGATAATGGTATCAATAGTCAATTCAAAAATAAACTCATCTAGTACTTGCCACTTAATTACTACGCATAAGTACTATGCACATATTTTTAGTGGGATGAGTTGATACATATTGTCATGGGGCTCCTTTGCCAAATCAATTAATTCTGACAATCAAACCAATTGAACAATACAACTCATTTAATGAATTTCTCAACTACATACAATATAGAAGATTTAGATTCAACTACAAATTAATTATAGTAAGAGCTTCATCATCAGACAATTTGTCCAAGCATCTAGTTGTAAAAACTAAAACCTGAATCTTGATGGCAGCATTATTGTGTTCCTTAATTTGAGCATCAAAACTCTTTTGCATTTCCAATATTTCTGATCTTGCAATAATTTGGGCTTTAAGTTCAATCTCCATCTGTTGCAGATCCTCTCTCTGTCTTGCAACTTCATTGAGCCGCTGCTGCAAAATATCATTATTTGGATTCCCATCTATTGAGATTGAACAGAAGTCAACGTCAAGTGGTTCCCTTCCTTGCTGCACCTTGACATAGAGCAAATCATCTTCACTTCAATGATTCATGAGGTTCTATAAGATAATTCCAGTACCATAACCTTCTTACCTCATATATAGTCCTTTCATCTGATTGTGTCAACTTTGATCGTTCCATTTCCTGCACATCAAATAAACTTTAATAAAACTAGTAGAAGTTACAACTCATACAAGATGCTCCATATAATTGAACTGAATTATTGCTGAAATTGGGGCAGGACACAAGCTAACTTGAGTATGCTTGGGTGGGGGGTAAAGAAGAATGCAATGTTTGATCGAATCTGGAAAAAGCCAAGCAATGAGAAATATGAGATCATCTACACAATACCACTCTATTAGTAGAACATAATTCTATTAATATGTAGACGCCTGTTGAAATCAAACGTATCAGCGTACTCTCTTTGGCCTTCTTTATAGCCCTTAACTACAAGGGCGTTAAAAGTTCCCGCTAATTTTACATTAACAGACTGAAGAGCTTTGCTGTACTCCCATTTACCAAGTAGAAAGCAAGGGCATAACCATAACCAAAAATAAGTTCTACTTCCAGACCTTGAATAACATAAACACAAAACATGAGATAAAAACTATGATAAAGAATGAGAGGCAACAAAAAGATATTTAATCCCAGTGAAGGCATTTAACAGAACCAGTATACAGATATGATATTAACACAAACAAGATGGACTCTATAGTAACCTAATGGAAACAAAGCTAAGTACAATTGGTCACGTCAAAAATAGCACCTTGGAACAGAAAGAATGCGTGTATCCGATTTCTGCAGACAAAAAAAAAAGGGAATGCGAGAAACCCTTAAATATCAGCAAACCCCTACCTCATCCGCCGCATCTCGAGCGGAGTGATTCTCAGCAACCGCTCGCCATTCCTGCCGGGACAGCTGCGGAGAATGCATCGGCAGAGAAGCACCACGCGCTGCGGCCGTGGCTTCCATCTAACGAAAAGGTCCGTCAATGCTCCAAATCGGTGCTGTCTCCGCGCCTTGGAATGTCCAGAAACCCTAGCCGTGCTGTGGAGGGGTCCGAACAAAACCCAGGAACTGGGGAGATGTATGATGAGGAGCAGACAAGGGATTGGAAATCAGGCAGTGACAGATTTGGAGGGGTGCGACAGTGAGTAAGAGAATGAGCGAGACGAGAGAGAACCAGGGAGGTGGGCGAAAACAGGAGGGGTCAATTTATTTTCGCAAAAGAAAAGAGGTTTTTAGGAATTAACAATTTTGTATGGGTCAAATTGTGATTTTCCAAAACACAGATGCAAACATTAATGTTACTTCCTTTTGGATGACACAAAACGGTCTTCGTCTTTGCACCTTAATCGAAAATTATCTATCAACTATTTTGCTCCCTATGTCAATTATCCTTTATGCTTGTTTTTATTATTTTATTCATTTTTTTAATCAAAAATTACAAAATATATTTATTTTTTAATAGATGGATATCAAACTCACCATCTATGCTGGGTTAAATACATTCTTTGCAATAAAAAATTAATAAAATAAATTGAACTTCTAATTGAAAAATATCAATTTTTTTCTTTTTTTTCCGCTTGTCATTTACTTTGCTTGAGATCAATTATTGATTTTCCACCTGCATTAGTAATGCTAAAAAACAAGTCAAACTACCTCAAACTTTTAATCTCATTAAATCGGACCTTTGGAATCAACTAGCAACTTTGATCTCCTATTAGACTTCCATATTGAAGAATCATTAAAATAAAATAACAAGTGCATTTAATTTATTACAAAAATAGATATCTACTAAAAAATTAATGGTTGTTGAAATAGGTAGGATATGTAGAATTTATTGAAGTGAAAAATATACTTTTGGTCCATGAAATTTAAAGTAGGTGTCTTTTTGGTGTATGAAGTTTCAAAATGCATTCATAACTTACAACGTATTCGAATGTATTAATCAAAATTCAAGATTTTAAAAAGGGAAATCAGCACATATGGATCATGATACATATTGAGTTTAAAACATGAAAAAGATGACAAAAATATTCACTTCAAACTTAACGATTACGTTGAAATGCATGAGTTACATAACAAGTATGCATCACAACATTCATCAAAATAATAGATTGTCATTAATCAAATCCCCCCAAAAACTTAGAAATTACATTGTTCTCGATATAATAAAAATATACGTTTGAAGCAGTGAGGAAAAATTAAATGAAAATGAAAAAGAACAATAATGCCCTAAATTTAATGTCAATATTGTATAGTGCCAAGACATCTATACGTACCGTCAAAATCTACATTGAACCTACCTGAAACACAAAATGTAATGATAAAAATAAATATAGAGAAACAATAAATAAATAAACTAAAAAAAACTTTGGGTTGCCTCCCAAAGAACGCTTTATTTAATGTCGGTAGCTAGGGTGGCTCTATTTTGTTTATTTATCTTATCCTCAATTTTCTTCGGTCCCTTCTTCCTCGAATCGATGTATCCTACTAGTTCTCGTAGGTTTATTTCATTTTCATGGGCACCTGAAAGAGACAAAATTTATAATATAAATTCGGAAAGTTGAAGAAAGATAAATAAAAATCATATTTACATGACTCATGATGATGAAGGAAGAAAATATGAGAATTAAGAGAATTTTCAAGAGATAAGATAGGATTAGGCTTTTCAACGTGTTCTTTTATCAATTGAATTTTCCCTTCCAAATTAGGATTATTTTCTTCCTTTGTCTCACAAAATTATACTTTCCAACGGTGTTACTCAAAATTCTCAAACTCATCCCCACTGTCAATGCATATAGCTTCATATGTTTCTACTGGCTGAAAGTTCTCCAACTCATCCCTACTATAAATGCATATTGCTTTATAGGTTTCTGTCTCAATTGTATAGACAAATTTTTTGCTCATTAATGACTTTAATTTAATAAACTATGTGAAGGGATGTGAATCCCGGAGCGGAAGCGGACCGTTGTTCGTGATATTTGGGAAACAAAATCAAAACGGTTAAAAAGAAAAATACATAGGGAAACCATTACCTTTGAAGAACGTTTCTTCAACGGTTTCCACCCGAACACCACCACCGTGTCTTCCTCGCTATCCTCTTGGGTCTCGAGACCGTGCTTGTGGAGAGATGAGAGTTCTCTTCTTTTTCTGTTCTGTAACCATTGTATAACTCCCCACTCCCCTGCAAATTTGCACAGGAGTTTAATAATTAATTATTAATCAAAATTAATAATTAATAATAATAATTGATAAATTTTAATTAATTAAAATATAATATATTAAATAATTATTAATAATATTAATAATTAATTAATTAAATGTAATATTAAATAATTAATAATTAATTATTTAACATTTAATTAAATATCTAATATTTAATTAAACCATATTCTCTCTTATAACCTATGGTTTTAATGTACATCTTATGCACATTATTTTTAACCTATAGTTTTAATATGAATCTTATTCATATTAATTTTATTTGAATCTCATTCAAATATTTTCTCTCATAATATATAGTTTGAATTTAGAATTAACTATATATTATAATGTATCAATATACATATAATCTCTTAAGTAATTTGAACATTTCAAATTCTTCAAAAAACTTGATCCTCGTTTTACCTGATATGAGCTAGCAAGGGGACTTAATGGACCTACAGATCCGAAACTCCAACGATACGAGATTAATCGGTCAAACTCATTGATCGAGTTAATCAACATTCGTTAACTACGGATCACTCCACTAAAGACCCGCAGTTGCACTCTTCTCACTGCAGAATATTTTCGTGTCCATGGATATACGACCATAAATGACGAGTCAATCTTTCACGAGTGCTCGTAACTCAAGTTGGGTCAAATTACCGTTTTATCCATGAGTTACATCTTACTCCTTAAATACCACTGCTCCTCTAATGAACAACCCGGTTATGGTCCGACCAATAACCGGAAGTCCCTCTCGGGCCAATGAGAGGGTGGGGCCCCTTGTTTAAGTCCCGGAGTCAGCATTTAAGGGAACACTCATCTACTCCCCTAAAGTCGGAGAGGAGTGAATTCCATCTTGTGAAGTTATGTTCCCAACTCCATACTCGGTCTCGTCCCCAAAATGGTAGGAATATTGAGTCGGTAACTCAGGACACTCTCACCCATACAGATCAAAGGACGAGCCCTCGCGGGCAGGAGTCCATCACTCATTCAGGATTGAGAATGAGTTGTTTGGTCATCCTAAGAAACAACAATCTATTAGTTAACGGTGTTACATATAAAGTTGGCTATTTCGTGGTTCGATCTTATACAAACTCATTGTATAGGATACCCCACTCGCATGTCTCCACACGAACGACCTGGATCGAGTCGTCTGTAACATTTACAGAGTGGGCCATATCCATAGTGTTGCTAGGATAAGGTACCCAGCCTTATCCATATACTATAGACCCTTTAGGTTATTCATGAGACATTATCCACTTGTATATTAGGGTATATCAAATATATACCCAGTACATATACTGTCCCGGTTACACTAAAATAACCTCGGATGTTTAGTTTATTGGATTTTGGACAATGCAATGCTATGAATTTAACAACAAATTTATTGAAAAAACTTTATTGAATATACATTTGTTTTCACAAAATATAAACTACGAGTTTAGGGCAACACACCTAACACTGTGTGGTTAAGTTATATTTCCAAACGCTTTAGAGTAGCCTCATTTTCTTCCACTCTGGCCTCTATCCTATCCAGCTTTTCTGATTCTTTTACACAAAATTTTTTAGTTTACATTCAAAAGTATATTCACGTAGGGAAGAATTTTCCTCGATTTGATTTGGATAATTTTGGCTCCATGTACCTTCATTTTTACCATACAACGAATTTTCATGATAATGATTAGACACTTGACTTTCTTGAAAACAACCATAATTTACATAAGAATTAACATGGTCATAGGAGGGGTAGATCGAGGAATAAGAGTTTAATGATGGTGGTGGCCCTTGGGTGGGTGAATAATCCTCATAAAGCCCGACGTAATTATAAAGAGACATGATTTATTAATGCATTCACATAAAACATACACCACCCATCCAAATAACTAGACAATAATATACAAAATTAAAATTAAAAAATCAAGATAAAGAAAAATAAATTAAGATACCGAAAATATATACAAAGGAAACACAAAAAAAAAACTCTAAATTAAGATCAATCAAGTTCTCCACAATATCAAGTTAAACTAAATAATTGCAATCCCCGACGATGACACTAAAAACTTGTAGCATAAATTGCTTACCGCAAATGTTAACTGAATACTGCTATGGTCATTTGAATTTGGTTTTTAGCTCACTCAAGTACTGTAGATATAATCACTCAATTTTATTTAGAGAACCAAAATCAAACTGGAATAGAATCAAAGCAAACAAACATGCAGTAAAACAAAGATAAAATCAACGGGGAGAAAGCACTTAGAGAATTGATTTCATATATTGAATCTATGAACCAATTACTTAATTACCCAATAATGAATGAACTATTAATTATATAGGCCAAGAACTAAAAAATATCATCAGTCTCTCCCGAACGCAATTTAACTCTTCTTACCAATTAAGAAACCAATATCCATATCTAGCTTCTATAACAAGCTTCTATAACAATTAAAGGCTTTATTGAATAAGTCTTGTAACCACCTCTAAAAGAATTCTAAATCTCTCAATCTTAAAACCCATTTGGTTATGCATCTCAGTTCCAACTCTAAATCACATCTCCCGATTGTAAGATTTCAAGTCTAAAATCAATCCATCTATGACCAGTAGATTAAAGACTCTAAATATAGAGTTACATAAATAGAACATTCGTAATCACTCAATCACGAGAATTAAACAATCAATTCATAAGGTTCAATTGCTACATCAATCCCTGTGACAAAATAACTTAACTACTCATATTTAATGTAAAACAACAAAATCCGAAATAAAGTTCCATTACAAAATAAGAAAAGTCAAGAGAAAGGAGAAAACTAATGTTCATATGTTGATTGATCGTTCCCGAGCCACTCCCCACCGTTCCGAGCCTTGAAAATCTCTTCTCTAAACTTCTTGATGCTCATTTTCTCTCTATTTTCAAGTTATCTCATGGCTCTCTCTCAAAAGGTGTGTAAAAAATTCTCTAAAGTCTCCCTAATGACGGATGTAAAACCTAAATTTTTAAAGAAACAGTCACTACAGCGTCATGGCGCTATGGAGAAAAAAGACAAACGAAAAAATTTCAGAGCACTGCGACGCCAGCCTCTCGGGCAAAAATTCCAAATTCTAATGTTTTGTGCTACAAGTGTCGTGGCACGTTTTCGGGTGCCTGACACTGTTCTCTCGGGTATTTGATCTCCAATAAGTGTTGTAATGTCTTATTTACTTGCTCAGGTTATGATTTCCATCTCAATTTGATCTATTATTATGTCTCATTTCCTCTCGATTATTTATTTCTGCAAAATATATATTACGTGCGTAGATCTATCATAAATAAACGAAACTAACAAATAATTTCAATATAAATCTCATAAAAAGTAGCTCTCATTATGTGCTATCAGTTACTCAATCCTACTCTAGCTAAGCTAACAATCAATTTAGGCATTGGAATGTGTTGAGTTAGCATCGAACATATTTGTGACCTGGACCAAAAATCATGCATCAACACAAGTATTACTTGTACATTTTGTCATTGCATGGGTGAAACTCTTTTTCCAATCATAAAATATTCGGTTGGACTAAAGTATACTTCTTATGTAATTTACTTGTATTGGTCGTTGAAAATCAAACAAAGTCTCGTGTAGACTAAACAAGGGGAGATCATGAATGTATAAGTGAATAACAATATCTTCATTACTTTTATATCCACGAGTGTTCGAATCAACTTACGCACACCTCAACTAATCTCACGAAACACACTTAGGTTGTCAAAAAAATATAGGATATTGAAGACTAGGTAAGCAGTATTCAGCCACCCTGAAGTTTGAACCAATATCTTAATTCGCATTATAGCATTTTGAGCAAAACCAAAGTCTAGCTTAGCCAAATATTAAAAACTAATACAAATGAGGAGGGTGAAAGATCAAATAATCTTAAAACTCAAAGAAGGGAGAAGTGAGACTCTGGTATGATGTGTGTTTTGGTTATGCAAAACTCAAAAGAGGAGAAGAAGAAGAAATTAATGAAGATTGCGTTGGCGGTGGCCCAATAAAGAATAAAAATAAGAGAAATGTCCCAAATGGGAAATGCCTTTCCACATTTATTGCAACTGTTACTTGTCTTGGTCAACTGACTTACCTGCTCTCCTACCATTCGTCTTTGACATCTCTTCTTCCAACTTCCAACTTCTAATTTCTATTCCTCTTTTTTCTTCGTCTTCCTATTTCTGCCCAATCCACACAGAAAACGATGATAAAGTTTATTTTAATTATAATCAGCCTACCCATGTGAAAGAAAGCACTGTGTGTATTCATGATTTCACAAGCAAATGCAAACCAAACCTGGAGCTGGAGGAGAGTTGAATTTCGCTGCTTTATTATTCTCGGTCACCTAAATTGACGGAATCACATGCCACGTGTCGTCATCCTGTTCCTCCTCTGACTTTCTAAACTCCATTTTCAACGCCTACCTTCTCCTCCCATCACAATTCCCCCATTTTTAATGCTTCATCATTTTCCTGCTTCCATCTTGAACTCGCCATGGGCCACTCCTGTAGTAAAAGTGTTTCTGACGTCCACAGCAACAACACCATTGCAATCTCTGCACCGCCTTCCTCTGCCACTGCCAGCCCGTTTTCCAGTCCTCTGCCCGCCGAAATAGCTCCCTCGCCCTCGCCGGCCACAACTCCGGGGAGGAAGTTCCGATGGCCTCTGCCGCCGCCTTCGCCGGCCAAGCCTATCATGGCCATTCTACGTCGGAAGACACGCAAGGCTTCCGTTCCAGAGCAGTCCCAAATTGGGGAACAGGGCGACGGCGCGATTCACCTCGATAAAACCTTTGGATACTCCAGCAACTTTGGAGCCAAGTTCGAGCTGGGGAAGGAGGTGGGGAGGGGCCATTTTGGACATACTTTTTGGGCCAAGGCCAAAAAGGGCCACCTCAAGGGAAACCCTGTGGCCGTCAAAATCATCTCCAAATCTAAGGTTGGTTTACGTCTTTCTATAGTTCAATCTTCATTTTCTCAACTGAATTAGTTCCTTCGAAATATGGGATCTTAATGATATAGAAACCAAGTGTTTTGAGTTAATTTAAAACTACTTCTTTAAAATTTCTGGTCGGGTTGCAAGGTGTGTGTCGTAAGTAGTTGAGTACGAGCCTTTTGAGTGAAACCGAAAGCAAAACCATAAAGGTTATGTCCGAAGCAGACAATATCATACAATTGTGGGGATACTGTTGCTCTCAACAACTCCCTTTGCAAAAGTGGGAATAATAGTGATAATTAATTCTAGAAAGTAGAAAGAATGTCATGTTTCATGTCCTTCTTGCATATGATGTGAATATCCTTATCCACCACAATTTCTACATTTACTCAGTCGAAAGGGGAAGGGACAATTCACCACCATTGCTTTAATGATTTGCTTTACTTTTACGTGAAGTCACTGCTTGCTCCAGTAACTCACTAAGTGATGTTTGGCAGATGACATCTGCAGTTGGAATTGAAGATGTTCGCAGGGAGGTTAAGATATTGAAGGCATTGTCTGGGCACAAAAATCTAGTTCAATTCCACGATGCATTTGAAGATGCCAATAACATTTATATAGTTATGGAGTATGTGTCTATTGATATCTTTTCTTGTCAATCAGTTAAGTTGCTGACCTGAGAATTGTATTGAAATTTAAGTCATGCTTCTGTTTAACATACAAACGTTTTATGTTTGGCATCAGATTGTGCGAAGGTGGAGAACTGCTCGAAAGAATAGTGTCAAGGTAAAAATGCTTTACTTCCTATACTCTGATAAATTGTAGATCAACTTGATTCCAAGTTCAAAACGTTTTATTTGCAGAGGTGGAAGATATCCTGAAAAAGAATCCAAAACTATTGTTATGCAGATCCTTAGTGTTGTTGCATTTTGTCATCTTCAAGGGGTAGTACATCGTGATTTAAAGCCTGAGGTAAGGCATCTTCTTGTAGCTTCATGCTTCAACTAGTTCTTTGCTTCTGAATAAAATTCCTTACTAGTTGTCAAAATTCCCTCTGGCAGAATTTTCTTTTCACAAAAAAGGATGAGAACACTGAGCTAAAAGTCATTGATTTTGGTCTATCTGATTATGTCAAGCCAGGTAAAGGCTTATTGTCCTTGATATATGGTTTTTGCTTTGTTCAGTTCATTAAGTTCTTGCAATTAATGTAAGATTGGTAGAGATAGCTTCAGCATTATTCAAAGCTTATAGCTGTTCTTAAGAAGTTGCTGTTTTCTGCTTGCTCTTGATTTTCACTTTGCCAACTCATTGGGGGTGAGACTGTTTTCACAACACATATAGTTCATGTGCAGACGAACGTCTGAACGATGTCGTTGGGAGCGCATACTACGTTGCGCCTGAAGTACTCTACAGATCCTATAGTTTTGAAGCAGATATGTGGAGCATTGGTGTCATAGCATATATACTGTTGTGTGGGGGCAGACCTTTCTGGGCAAGAACTGAATCAGGAATCTTTCGTTCTGTGCTAAGAGCCGATCCTAACTTTGATGATACCCCTTGGCCTACCATCTCTGCAGAAGCTAAAGATTTTGTGAAACGGCTTCTGAATAAAGACCACAGAAAAAGGATGACAGCAGCCCAAGCTTTAAGTAAATTATTCTGACTTTTCATGCTTTAGGTTCCTCCTTTTGCAGAAACATAGTTTTGGAAGGGTTCGTTTGGTAATGTATCGTTTCTTGTTTCTGTTTCTTCATTTTTAATAAATAAAAAGGAATTGCATTGCTCCAACATCCATGAATTCAAATATGATAAAACAATCTTTTTTTTATTTATGTTTTGGAACAAATTGGAAATGGGAACAAGAAAGAAGAAACTTGTTTTAGTTGTTTCCAAAATTTCTATACCATTTTGAGAATTTTCCAAAAAAGGAGAAATAAGAAATACAACTAATTGTAAAATGCTTTGATTTCTTAAAGAAAATTAGAAATGAGAAACAAGAAACAAGAAACGTAGACCAAACGGACCCTCATTTTCCTTCTTTTTTCTAGAACAAAGAAAATGTTATAGAAGTATATTCAATGAAAAACCAACATTGGCTCTTTGATTCACAGCTCACCCGTGGTTACGAGATGAGAGCCCTGATGTGCCGTTGGATAATTTTATTTACAAGTCAGTTAAATCATATCTTCGTGCCACCCCATTCAAGCGTGCAGCACTGAAGGTAATGTAGTTATCTGTAGTGTTAAAATGAACCGTTAAAAAGTTTGAACTCCTAAATTTCCTCCTCCCCATCTCTTGCACCAAACTTAGAAAGAAGATTGTATCCATAAATGTGTTTCCAAGCACTGCTAATAAATCTGTGAATGAAAGTGAACATATCACCAATCTTTTTGGGGCACATAGACGATATTGCTATGCAGTTTCTGAACAGTGTTTGGTGTACAATGGTGCATTGTCATCAACTTTAATTTAACAGGTCCACTTACTGTGGCATCGCTGCATTATTGTAGGCACTTGCAAAAGCATTGACAGAAGATGAGCTTTTCTACCTCAGGGCTCAATTTAAGCTCTTGGAACCCATAAATGGATTTGTGACCCTTGTTAACTTCAAAGCAGTAAGCCTTTCGCCATTCTTTCTGTCTTTGACATGTATTTGTGATATCCATTGTTAATGCATACATATTGTGACCTTTTACAGGCTCTTTTGAGAAATGCAACTGATGCCATGAGAGAGTCAAATGTTGCTGACATTCTAAAGATGGTGAGATCACTTTTGTTTCTCGCCCTTCCATTTAGACACGTTCAATGTAGGGACAATTGCAAATATGACAAAAATATTTAGTAAAATTAGTAAAAGGACAACCACATGTAGTTTTTTTCAAATATAGCACTTAAAAAAAATGGAGGTCCAATTTTAAAATGACAACTTTACCCAAATAATATATTTCTGTAATATATTTGTAATATATATGACTATTGATATGTATGTGATACACTGTTGATATGAGTAGTGTCTGATATACGTATAATATGTATGTGATATACATCTAATATACTACTGATATAAGTGAAAATTTGTGCTATTATTTAAACATTTTTAAAAATAGGTGAGATATTTTGAAATAATTTTTGCTACCCACTCCAATTCTCTTTTTATACATGGCTGCATACAAAAATCAGGAGTGTTTGAGTACCCTTCACATTGTTTGTTAAACCTTTTCTTTTTTAGTTTTTTTCCTGAGTTGGACAAACATTGAAGATCAAGTTATGTTCCATGTCCACTTTTTCACTAACATTTCCAACTTCCATCAAGATGGAATCGCTCTCTCATGAGAGAATGGACTTCGAGGAGTTTTGTGCAGCTGCAATCAGTGTATATCAGCTCGAGGCCGTTTCGGGATGGGAAAGCATTGCGACCCGAGCTTTCGAGTACTTTGAGCAGGAAGGAAACCGAGTCATTTCAGTTCATGAGTTGGTTCAGGTAATCAACAACTCAGTGCTTGAAATTGTTATAATTTTACTCAAACCACAATTGCGAACTGAATTGCAAGTTTAATCTGTATTCAGGAAATGAATCTGGGCCCTGCGGCTCATTCTTTTCTTCAGAACTGGACGAGAAGTTCTGATGGGAAACTCAGTTTTTTTGGATATGCAAGATTTTTGCATGGCGTTACAATCCGTAACTCCAATACAAGACATCATTAAAACTTAACATACAGAAGCAGATAGTTAAATGGCCCATACAATTAATTCCATTTTTTCTTGCATCTTCCATTTGTTTTGGTACAGCTTCAAAAATAAAAGAGTGGCCATGCAAGAGAAACATTAAAAAAGAAAGAAAAAGAGAGAGGCTGTAATATATGTTGTACTTTTCCCACCACTCAGTTCGTTGTAATCTTCCAATGTAGAAAAAATACAGATTGTACTCAGGATTACCAGAGTGATTTGATGCTCTGTTATACTTGCAAATTCAAATTTTAATGTAAACAATAATTCCAGTCCATATTTGTTTTCTTCCTTTTGACATTATTAATCCTCATATTTCTATCAAGTTAGTCTCTAACATGAGGTGGTATTAATCTTAAAACATATCGAGCTAGAGTTCAAATCCCCAGCCCAAACAAATGAAATAGTATTAATTTTAAAACATGTCAAGGTATCAAGATGACAACATGAACTTAGCTCAACAGTAATTGACACTACGAGTTTGAATCTCTCGTCTCCTGCTAAAAAATGACACGTGGGATGCTTATGTGTGTTGAGTTGATGCGGTCCATATGGGGTGTGGGTGGCAAGCATAATTGGAAGAAGTCAAATATTGCAATATTGAAGTGGAAGAAGAGTAATGCGTTTTTCTTTTCATAAGAGAATCTGACTTTGTGTTATCCAAGTGGGATTTTACATTACAAAAGAAGACGCGTATAACAGAATAAAGAATACATTAGATTGCAAGCAAAGCAATCTCCAGCAAGTCAAACAGGCAAATTGAACCCACACCACATGAGAATTGCAGCTGTTGTCGTCGTCGTCTCCCTTCCCCACAATCGATTTCAGTTCATACAGCATCACAATCAAATTGTACTGTTGCTTGAATTTGTGTATGAGAAAACAAAGTAAAAGAGAAATAAGGAATGAATAGAGAGAGGGAATTAGTGAGAAAAACAGGGAAGGGGAAGATGAAGACGGTGGTGGGAGTGGTGAATAATGGCGTGGAGGGTGCGGAATTGGTCGGGAGGGCAGGGGATGGAGATGGGTCCGTGGTGGTGGAACCCATGTTCCTGCTCGGCCTCCTTCAGCAGCTCCACGAAGAGAGGGTGGTTCACATCAACCACAGGGATCACGAACCTCTGTTGCTCCTGGCCCACGAGAATGGCCACGAACCCCTTTGGAATGTCCTTGCTCCGGTGCCGCTGGTGGAGATGAAAGTGGAAATTGAGATGCAGGTGGTGGTGCTTGTCGCCGCCGAGCCCCATCGAGAATTGGAGAGCCCAAAAAGAAAGAGAGAAGAGAAGGGGGTTTTGTTGGTCAGATGGAAAATGGCCAAGGGTCGGAAGAGGAGATGGAGAGGGTGAAGAGGGCGAAGGAGGAATCTGTGAAGGAGGAGGGGATGTTGCTCATTTCTCAACCTCTAATCGACAACCATGTATGTAAACGATGATGAGGAAGCAAAGAGAGCATATGGGAGGGGCTGTATTTATACCACAATTCCAAGACGGATTTGGATTCCAATTCCCAAGTCCGTGTGAACAAAAGCAACCGCTGACCCTCGGCCCCAATTGCGGCCTTTGCTTAACTCACACTCCAAAAACCCTCGCCATCTTCTCCTTTTTTTTAGGATACGTAAAATAAAAATAATAATTCTTTTGTTTCGATATGAGAACTTTTTTTTCTAAACCATTATACTATGTATCGAAGGAGTAGAGTGGGATAAAATGCATTTCTGATTTTAACTGATTTATCGATGCTTCTTACCGACTACAACGTCACAAATTTTTCCAGAACGATAAATTCAGCACGACGAGAACTTGGAATTGACACGATTCCAGTTTGAGCAAGCGCAGGTCATTGAGTTGGCAAAACCAGTTCGGGATTAAATTTCAATCGACATCTCCATATATCCATGAATTCGACATCCAAACAAGGAGTAAATTTACATTTTCAATCCTAGTATAAAAAAATCAACAAAATATGAAAAATATCACCATGTCACTATATATATATTTAAAGAAATATTAATATTTTTAATTTATTCATAAATAAGAAAATATTTATTTGTTGATTTAAATACTTTTATGATTTTTTAAATTTCTTTCATTTTTACAAAAATAAAATTTATGAAATTGAGACAATTTTGCTCACATCCATGTTTAAAACTTTAGAAAATTTCCCCCTAATTCTAATTATATCAAATACTCTCTTTCCTCATTGCCGTTCTTAATTTTACTATTATTCCAATCTACTCTTACTACTAATCTTTCTCTCTTAAGTCTTCCATCTTTTCAAATTATCAATTTTACACTGCATTGTTATTCCCCAATTAGGTCTTTGGAAAAAAAAATCCATTAAATTTTGTTCTAAAAAAAGAGGTTTCATTAATTTATTATTTTATTAAGTATCCCGTGCCGAAAATATCGAAAGACTTAATAAGGTTTATAAATATATATGTGGTATGATATCTCCCTGACAATTAATTTTGAATTTTGAGATAGAATATGATGAATACTGATAATTTTATTAACGGCTCTATACATGTTTGAAAATCTATCCCTTTTATTCTCCTTCCTAAATTAATCCTTCCCCAAAAAGATTGAAAATTACTTTCTTGTTTTAAAAAAAGCTACGTATAGAATGATTTAATTGAGAAATTGAGACTCTTTCCATATATTTAACCTAAATTTTTTGGTACCCTTTCATTTCTCTTTATGCCGCGGAAGTTTTTATTTATTAATTAATTTTTTGAGGTAGCCGCCTAATTAAACCATTACTTTCTTGTTATTTACTTGCCAATTGGATTTCTTTCATTTATCAAAACAAAATTCAAAATAGATGAATAATGCGTTTTCAACGGAAACCCTATTTCCTTTTAATAGATTTGTTGATATTCGTTCTAGATGGTCAAACATTTAATATTACACGATTTTTACTCTTTTTTCATACGTGTTTCATTTTTTGATTTTCTAGATTTTAATAATATATTTCTAAAACTAATTTAGCATTCGACAGTATTCAATTTATTATTAAATTACAAATAATATGATGAAAATGTAAAATAATATAAACAATCCGGCATTGGGGGAAAATACAACATGATATGTGGACCAATTAACTAAGTTTGGTATCGTCAAATATGTTCAACTAAGATAACAGAGGAAATTGACCTACACTTAAGATCAAGTTGTAGATCAGAATTCAATCGAGAATCACCAAAGTTCTCTTTGACCGACTTGAGGACTCTGACCTCAGGCTCGACAATCGACTTTGGGCCTGATAGCTATAATCATCGGTCGAAGCGATTCCAACGGTAGCCTATAAAAGGGACATGGGATGGTCTACAGGGTTCATAACTACTCATCCTACTACAGGACGCTTACCTAGCCAACATTTAGATCCGGCTCTACCCAAACTTGATCGTAGTTGGTCTTGCTTTCTCTTGCTGCTCAAGATGGTCGATTGCTGCTGTCGACTACCTATGCCTGGGGGATTTTCATCTCTTGTCCATTCGAACCGAAACCCCCAACTAGAGATGGAATTCCAGAACCCGAATAAGGGTAATATGTTCTCATAAAAGGTTGCTCCAATCTGACCTAGCTGGCGAGCGATCCCCCGCCTCTATGCTTAGGTACATTCTCAATTCTGCTCCATGAAGAACCTATAGTAGCTTGCACCTCTTGTAACTTGAGCATCCTTTTTGCATGTCATTCTTACTTTAGGTCGCACCTCACTAGCTCGTTGGGATTGTTAGGTGGCTGATCTTTGATAACTCGATAGAATCCTACACATAGAATTAATTCTCAATGACCAATGATTTAAGAAAAAAAAAACAAGGAATTAATTACGTGGGCAATTTGTAATTGAGAAAAAAAGTATTGATTCCTTACCTTTTTTTTTTTGACAAGGGACTCTACATTTTTATGGGAAGAATTGTATTGAGAACAAAATTTTAAACATTTTATTACTTGGGCGTCCCTACAAAATTCCCACTGAAACTCATTTCAGATAAAGCTCGTTGATAATTGGACAAAACAAGCATTGAATTTTGACATTCTAAAATATAGTTATTTAGATATGTTCAAATATTAGAATATTTTAAATTAAATGAATAAAAAAAACTTTTTTTAAATACAACTGTTGAAACAGAAATTTCGGCCAATTACTAAATGCGACGTCAAAATTTAAGGACAAATCACAAATTTACATGTGTCCTAAATTAATTTAAAATTGGTGAATGTCTCTTTTATAGTCGTCCGATGAAATCAACTAATTGGATCAAATCCATAAAGAGATTGGGCTCAAGCCCTTGGCCCATTAAGCCCATGGCCCATATAAGACCCACCAAAACTCTATAAATAGAGGGGATCCAGAGCGGAGGCATTTAGAGGATTGAGAAGAATTTCAGACTCAGAGTTTTCAGTATCTGGAGTCAAGCAAAGCATGCGAAGCATCCAACTTGAAGAATTGGAGACTTGAAGAGTACGAGACTTGAAGAACATTGGATATTATCTTCCCAAGCAATAATACTTGAAGACTCCGTCAAACTGCAAAGTCTTCATCAAATTGGCCGGAGAACTTCAACAAGCTGCAAAGCCGAAGCACCTCACAAGCTGCAAAGTTGAAGAACTTCACAAGTTACAAAGCTGAAGAACTTCACCAACGCAAACCGAAGAACTTCACCAGCGCAAAGCCGAAGGCTTCATAAAGTCTTCATCAAGCTACAAGTCAAATAACTTCATCAACAAGTCAAAGTCTTCAACAAGGTCAAAGCCGAAGACCTCAAAGATCCTTCGACAAGCAAGAAGCGGAAGGCATCAACCATTGATTCAAGAACAAGCCCACAAGCCCTTGAATTAAAGTTTACATTTGAGAGAATTAATCAGAGAATTATCCATCAGAGATTGTAACACTCACATACATAAATACAAATACAAGTTCATTAATTCGAGTGTTCTCTTGTTGAATTTCTCGTCGAACAACAACAATTTGACACATAGGAATCAACTTTTAACCTCGAGATAATGAATGAATTACTGCTAAATTATGTTCTGTCCTCAAAATTTGAAACTTCTTAAAAAGGAAGAATCTTACCGAGTAAAAATATATTCCTTGAAAGGAAACTGGTAAAGGGTTTTGCTATTTCTCTTAATTTTGTTGGACTTTTTCTTTATTTGAACAGAAAAACTTGCCTACGTAATATGTTATTTTTAATGGGATTTATTTTATTTTATAAATTAAGAAGTTGCAGATGAGATTACGTAGAAGGATGACTAGAAGCGGT